CCCGTCTCCATCACTGGGATGAGAATTCCCATCTCCATCTCTAGGAATAGGGTCCACATCTCCTTGGGTTACAAGTTTCCACATCTCTCTTGGGGTACCAGGGTTCACGTGTCCTTTGTTGGGATCACAGTGTGCATCTTTGTGGGGATCCGAGTCTCAGTTCCTTTGTGGGGACATGGTCACTGACTCGTTTAGCGGTAGGTAGTAAACAGATAGAGACATACAAGCTCGTGAGTGTGGACTCAAGCACCCATGTTCCCAGTCTGTCCATCGCAAGGGCCTGGGAGTGACTGCTCGCCCGCAGCCCCAGGGCCTGTGTGCACACATCACTGTCCACGCTGAGGAAGTGGGGTGCTTAGACATGTGGCTGACCCAGGGCTGGGCAGGAGGGGAACAGAAGCCAGAGCGCACACACGGGCGGAATGGTGCATCAGGAGGAGCAGGGACAGAGCGAATCAGATTATAAACCACAGAACAACAAAGAAGCCCTAAGTCCACACTGAGACCGACAAACAAGTACGGAAGGAACACGCATCCTCATGTGAGAACGCTGAGCTGGGAAACGTGGAAGGAAGTGGAAGGTCACCCTCCACGACACTCACAGCAGGGACACGTTACTCAGGAATGATTAGTGGGCACCTGTCCGTGGCAGGACTTGGCTGAGGAACGGAAGGTTCCTAAAGTCTCAGAGTTCCCCCAGCAAACATTCAGCCAGTGGGGCACAGGGTGGAGAAACGGAGACATCACTACTGAGTGACCAGGTGAAAACCAGATGGCTGACAGGTGTGCGTCCTGCTGAAAGGACACAGCTGAGTCTCAGTACCAGGAAATAGCAGGTGAGCCTGGACGGCACTTCCAGCACCGTCAGGACAGTAAGAAGCCAGGAAAGACAAGCCGGCACCTGAGTGCAGAGCCCGGCTGAGGGCCAGCCCAGACCAGCCCGGGAAACAGCCTTCTGCCCACTGACCTCCAGCCTTTGGACACAAGACCAGCCTGCGGCCCGGTCCTGCTGGGACCTGCACGCGGGCTCCACAGCGGCACCTCCTGTCCTCAGGCCCATGGGGGTGGGGGCGGTGCACAGGAGGCGCAGGGGCCCACTGTCACCAGCCACATGGTTGTGCCTGGAGGCCCCCGCGCAGCACCGGACACTGGACACTGACCACCATGTGGCACGCCCACCTGGACCTGAGGAGGAAAGTTGGCGCCAGGCTGCCCGTCCTGTGCCTTCCGTGATGCCCCTGCGTGCAGGCCCAGGGTGTCCCGGACCCAGCCCGTCTGGAGAGCGCAGCGGTGACGGCAAACCCCATTCCGCATGGTGGCCCACACCCACCTCTCACCTCTAGACGCCTTCTGTCCCCTCCCGCCCCTGCATCGGGCGTCTGGGTCCTACTGGTCCTGCTCCGCTGCTTCACTCAGCACGCCGCCCTTCACTCTGCGCCTTCCTTTTGTCCCTTGCTTTTTTTCCATTTTCTAGCACAGAAATGGCAGCTGTCATTTCATGTCACTTGTGTGTGATACACAGCCACGTAATTAAGTTCTTACTAAAATTTTTAGGTGAGTCCCATGAAGCCAACAGTAGAGAGTCAATCAGAACTATTAGTCAAGAAAGAATCTGGGGCTGGCCAAGTGGCTCAGTTGGTTAAGAGCACAAGCTCTGAGCAGCGAGGTCGCCGGTTCAATTCCCACACGGGCCAGTGAGCTGCCGCTGAGCTGCCAACAGGCGGCCGGATGGCGACTGAACTTGGAGCTGAGCTAGCTGTGCCCTCCACAACTAAGATTGAAGGACAACAACTTGGCTGTTCCCTTTCCCCAATTCCCCAATAAAATCTTTAAAAAAAAAAAAAGATTTTGAATTTATATGAATGATTGTACGTTAGTATGCTCTAATGCTCTCAGAAATTTCATTTTAAAGGGGATACAGGAGGTGAATTTTTCTATGACTACAATTTACTCACAAAATGTAATTCAAGGTAAATTTAACCAATTTGCATGCACCGAAGGAAGAGAAAACTCGAAGTTGCAGTTGCATTTACCTGTACATGGCAGCCTGGAGTCGTCTGCTACATCTTGATACCTGTAGAGACACGAGACGGGAGGCGTCACCCTCGAGTGCTGTCCACAGCCCATGCCCCCAGCTCAGTACACACGGCTGTTGGCCGACTTCTTAAAACCACCAAAAGAAAGACAGGAGATAATGAAAGCGAAGAGTCAGCATCGACCAGGAGGTCTCTGGCAGTTTAGTGTCACTGCGGCCCAAGGGCGGGTGAGCACAGGTGAGGGAAGAACACAGGTGAGGGGAGAGGGCGACTGGTGGGCCTACCAGGAGGCCGCAGAAAAAGCAGTGGGGACCCCGTGGCCTGCGGCCCCTGGAAAGACTCTGCAGCAGTCAGTCAGGGCCCTTACGTCACGGCCAAGGGCAAAGCTGTGCTGTGACCACAGTGGTTAAATACAACCCAGAACAACGGGCCAGGAACATGCTCCACCCCAGGTCACACCACATCCCACTCACAGCGTTCCTCCTCTCCAAGTTTTCCCACAACTGTATTTTTTATTAGCTAATATTTGAAGCTCATGCAACGTTTAGGAAGAAAGGGAGGGAGGGAGGGACTGATAGGCACGTACGGGGCAGTCCCAGGACAGCGAAGACAAAGGGAGCAGCAGGGCCCTCGAGCAGGCTGACCAGGGTTTCTACACGGCCACTGTCCGACACGGTGGCCACTGGGCACCCCCCTGCAGTCCGCCTGGTGTGACGGACGGTGTCGCAGTGAATTTCATCTTACTCAGTTCGGACTGTGGATGGTGAGCCATTGTCGAC